TACTATACAAGACAGCGAACATTTTTACATTTTACATGAATAAAGTAAAGCCAGTTTTAATCTTATAGTATAGAATTGTACTTAAAATTACTTAATTTACTGTGAATAAATGTAATAAAGTTATTAGTTATTAATCAGACTAATCAGAACTTGCATATAATATAAAAATTGAAGATGTAATTGATACATTCAAAAATCTTACTCCCGTGGACAGAAGGATGGAGTTGTAAATAGTATAATAATATGTAAATAAGGATTTCTTAGATATAAATTGTGCAAGTTTAAATAGTATTTATTTTTATATTTGCATATTGAATTAAATAAATAATTTTTAAATTAAAAATATTTAATTATACTAGTAGTCTTTAGTACAAGAATCTTTGGTCCACTTTTTCAAGGGGCCCCACCTGCGGACAAAGTTTGTGCACGTCTATGCTTGCTATAGACCTATACATACTATTTGGAGTGAAAATCGTCACTACACAATACTGTTGTCAGTGTTCCTCAAAATTATGTTGATGGAAAATTTGTATCATCTGAATAGTTTTTGGCAATTTCTCGACTCCGTGCCGTGGCGAGTATACCAAATGCTCGCAAAACCTTCTGCGGAAGACACCTCTAATGATATCGGTTTAATGTTTTCCAATAAATATAAAAATTTAATGTCAATATATTAAGACACTCTCTGTTTTATTATTTACCATAAAAGTTTGAAGATGAGTTTTAGAAAACCCTTGTGAATGGATCTTAATTCATATATTTTTAAGCTAACTGCTACGCAATTATATTTTCTTTCATCGTTATGGAGTTTGGAATTTTTTTTTCAATGTACGTAAAAATGAAGTGAAATTATACGGACTACGAATCATATAAATAGTTTTAACTAATCGCAGTTGTTCGTTTGCAAATCAAATAAAAACCATACTAATGAATTGTTTTTTTCTTTTAAATGTTGTATCAAATGAATTACAAATAAAATCAGTGTTTTGTTAATATAAAACAATAAATATTATGTTAATAAAAATATAATACAACGAATAAAGGAAAATCACACTGTAAAATATCTGCAATGGGTCTATAGTTGATTTCGCTCAGCTTTTGAGCAACTTACAAAATGTTTAGGGTCACGTATAGGTCAAAAATAAAATATTAATGATAATATTACTAAAAAATTTGGTCAGAACATACCAATAAGCCCGGATTATGATAATTTGGGGCCCGGGGCCAAACAATTTTAGGGGCCCATAACCATAATCAAAATATTGACGACCTACACATAAATATATTTCAGACAAAAAAAAAATGCATTCTAATTTATAAATTTATTTCTTGCTTTTTTAATACAAAAAATAAAAATGTTATTTATATAAATAATTTTTTCTTTCTTTTTGGGAGGCAAACCCTTTAATTATATTATCGGTATTCATTAACTCTAACACATTACTCTCAGAACACAAAACCATAAAACTATATACTATTTTATACTTGTTTTTTATACGAGCTACAAAAAAGAGTTAGAAAACGAAAAAACCTACTATCCACCAGAGGCCTACTATTGATTGATATCCGTTATGGCTCAGGGCTATGGCTCCTTCTGCTCCTTCCATAATCAGGGCTTGTATATAACATAGTTAGAGTCTAACATAGTTGAAACATAACATTAATATTTTATTTTTTACTATCCATTTTTTATTTTGTGGATTGATACTGGTAGCTGCGGGCCATATGTTTGACATGCCCTGCCATAGGATATTTCAAATTTTAACCGAAAAAATCTTTAAGTTTTCAATATCAAACTTGGATTTATGGATGAAAATGTATGAACTTCCGCTGCAAATAAATTGCTATCTGGGGCAACTCCCCTTTTCCCCCCCCCCCCCCAATCCGTCTCTGAATTCAGAATGCACATGTGATTTATTTATTTTATTAGATTAAAATATTGAAAACCAATTTATGGTTTTTATAACAATTAAGGAACTTCTAGTGTTTCAATTTAAAATATGTAAAGATGTTTGAATTTGTAAACAAGCTTACTTTGCATCAGTCTGAGCACTTTTTAAATTTTAGTAAATTCTTAACAGGAATAATATTATACATTTCATAAATTATATACATTATTACATTATTACATTTTATTAAATATATGCTCTCACCGATGCAAAGTAGACTTCAATTCAAACATCTTTACATTTTTTAAATTGAATCACTAGAAATACCTTTATTTTTATCAATCATTTACGTTTTTTTGATGAAAAATTAAAAGTGTTTGCCTTAACTAATGAAACACTACCGATGATTACTTTATAAATTTAAATTTAAGCATTACTTGATTTGTTTCAGTCTTTACTAAAACATAACAAATGAAATTATTTAGATTTCTTCAAAGTCGTTAAATCTTCCTACGAAAACATATTTGTAATTATTTTGAATAAAAAAATTGGCTATTTTATTAATGATCCATTAACAATTTTAAAAACTGATATTGCATATTCTTTTTCACAAATAAATAAGATTTAGAGAAAGAAAGTAACTGAAAATATTCATCAATTTAAATTTCAAAAATTAACTAGAAAGTATTAAAAAGTATTTCATATTTACTACAAAGAAAAATAATTTGGCATATTAAATACTTATCAAAAAAAAAAAAAAAAAAATTAAAATTTAGTTATACCTACCACCCAATTTATTACAATAGAAAAATGAGTCTCATTTAAAATTTAAGGAGTAAAATGTACAAATTGAAATGTAATTAAATGATATAAATATAATTACAGATCAAAATTACTATCAACCTATCAATAAATTATTAAGTAATATGACAAATATTAGTAACACTGTTTAAATTGTCGAACATGTTTCAACACAAAATTCTAATTATGTTTTAGTGAATGAATAATCCTTTATCTGTTTTTATTTTAATAATTTTTTTATACTTATTTTCATCATTATTTATATATGATATAATTAATTGTAATTCATAATGATTATATAAACTGTTATAACTGATATTATATTTAAATCTTCATTTCTTTAACATAACAATACATTATCTTCTTTGTGATGATCTTGAAATGTCTGTAGTTTCTTTTTCATTGTTTTAGTACATTAATTGAATAAAATATATGAAACAATTGAAGGATGCATACCATAGAAAAACCATTGAATTTAACGACAAAGACAACAAAAATCAACAACATCAAGAAAATAATAATAATGATAATAATCAAGAAAACCATACAATAATCAATAATTATTGAGTCCCCAATAACTTTATTTTCATATCTCAAGTACTACAAAGTTTAAATAAAACATTTCAGTTCAAAAATGAATGTTGAAAAAGTAGTATTTCATTCATAGACATGTTACAGAATGATTTATCCAATAAAAAGGAAGTTTTTAATTTAAAAAAAAATAAATAGCCTAATGGGATTTAATTAGCAAGAGCACATATTTTACAATTGTTTTAATATTAACAGGTACACCAAATGTATAATTTTGAATGTATATATCCATTGATGACAAATATTAATATTTAATAATGTAGATGTATCTGTTGTTTTGTAATCTCCGAGTTTCGCTGTAGATTGAATAATATACGTGGTTGACGTAGTATTGAATGTTATTTGTTTCTTAAACTTCCCAATTGATGCAAATGAGACACTTTTATAATGAAAAATAAATTGCTACAATTGTGTACCTATAAAATTTATTTTTCAAATATAATGTTTAATACTTAAATAGTTGTCAATTATTCAATGTAGCACTTATGACTATCATAGTAGCTTAAGATATAAAAATAAATGGAATAATATGGAAAATGTCAAGCTCACCAACTCAGAAATGAGTTACTATGCAGTCAGAGGCTTATACTGAATACTATTCCTAGAATAAAATTTAGGCAAGAAAAAATTGTTTTTTTCTTTTTTGAGTTGTTGTGTAACTGAATTCTTTTATAATAATTCATCTTAAGTAGCCAGGTATAGAAATTAGAAAGAAAAATATATCCCATGGGTATATTCCATTCTTGGACGGCTGTTAACACAAATGAAATCCAGACCTTGAGCTATAAGTGGATCTAACATGTGGCAAACATTCTATCTAGATATCTATAAGCTGCGATTGGCTGAAGATACTTGGAAAAATAATGTCATCTATTTTATTTTATATTGATAATAAAATAAAACCTAGCTTTTTTTAGTAAAATACATTTCAGGAAGTCTATCAAATTCTATTTCATAAAATTATTAACATTATTTCCATCAAATTATTAACCCATCAACATAAAATAGTTTTATTTATATTTTGATGAATTGAAAAATTAATATACCTACTAGTTTTTTATAACATATACTTATAATATATTAACAATCAATATAAAAATCATTCAATAGTAAAACTAATTTTTTTCTTTTTCTTAAAACATCTTGTTCACTAACTCAAACACTATTATAGAAAATGATAAGACTAGAAAATATATATTATTAAGATTATTATGAAATTTTATTTTTATTTTTAATATTTCATACATAAAAATATTTTTCCTAAATAGTAAATTTCATATTTAATTATAAATGAATATGGAGACTTATAAAATTTAAATAATTCACAAAAAAAAAAAAAAAAATCTTATAAATTATAAATTTTAAATTATAAATATGAATATTTATAACGCATTTGATTAAAATAAACTTTGATTGGTAGTTTAAAATTGGCTTTTTATAGTGATATTTATTGCCTAATAAATTTATAGAACCAAGATATATTGTAATTGACTATACCTTATCATAAATATTAATATAAGTAAATACTTGCATTAGATCTAAAATTATCAACACTTAAGTAAAACAGACATTAATAAGTGTTAATTGTATAAAAAGGCATTAGTTTTCAAATATCCGAATCTGTATATCTGTAGATGTAACTCCAAAGTTCAAGTTTGATATAACAATTTTATGAATATTAATAGTTGAAAAACTACCTCTAATTTGCTGTCTTTTAGGTCATTCATACATATGAATTGGTATAACTAGAATATGTTCATGGGTCCATGATGCATTTATATCGCCCTAAATAAAAATAAAAATAAAATTAAACATTTTATATTTTTTTATTATATAAAATTATCTATATAAAATGAAATGCTACTGAACCTATTCATTCATTTAAATTAACATAATGTATTAATAACAACGTTTAAATAGTAATATAACAAAAAACAATATGTAATAAATGTGTTCACATTCATAAACATACTTAAAATATAGTCGATTGTTGGTCCTCACAATGCTAGCAGTAAATACATCAGTCTTAATAAATTTAAGGATAAAAAATTAATAATCATAAGTATAAATTTACTATTGTTTTAAGGGCAATTTTTTTTTTTTTTAATCACTGATTTTTCAAAACATTTTTTTTTTACAAATAATATAAAAATTTAGAACAAGCACTTTGTTATGAACTGTATAACTTATAAATTAGTTACCCAATTTTATTATGATTTAATACTAAATAGAATAACAATATATTAAAAAAAAAATAATAATAATATACAGATAATCAACTAATTACAAGGTTGATAATATATAATAGTAATCAATCTAACAGAATAGACATTCGTGACTATCAATAATATTTTTAAATACTTTTTAATTTATAAATGTATTTTCTATTTTCTATTTTTCTATTTTTTATAAAAATTCCTTCAAAAATCCAATATTAAGTTGAAATTTCACCAATATTGTTATATTGTTATATATATTATAATGTTAAACCTTGGTGAAAAGATAACCACCAATTTTAACAAATTATTTGTAATTAATATATATATTGTATCAATATACTTCTATAAATATAATAATGAATAGTAATATTTATATTTATATTTATATGGGGATTGTGTAGAAGTATGGTTTCTAAGCTACGACCAACTGCAACAATCGTAAGATTGACTGTTATTTAGATAAGTACCCTAGCATAGTTTCCAATATGATTGACGTGTGTTAACATGACTGTCAATTACACTGGTCTAGGACTAGTCGCACTGTGCTCAAATTTTTCATTTTTTTTGTAGTTTTACAATGTCAATGTAAATACATGAAAATTGGTCATAATTTAAAAGCTAGCTAAACTAAAACTAAATTTTTTGTATATTGTGATTTAAATATCCATAAATTAACACTTTAAAAAAAAAACTTCTTTTTCATAACTATATTAACTGAATTTCTATTAAAAGATTATTTTGTAATTCATTTTCTTGCTATTTTTCCAATAACAGTTGAATAATATTGATATTATTAATGATACTTTGTTCCATCTTAGTATTCTTAAGTATGTAATTATTAATTTTAATTATTTATGTTTGTACAAATATAGTTAAATAAATAATTAAATACGTCTGAACATAGTACTATTGGGAACCCACTGAACTTTCCGCTGCAATGCTATGTTTTGCATAACACGCATTGCAGCAGAAAATTTTGCATAACACGTTGAAAACCAGACAATATGCAGTGGCCAGTTGTTGCAACCAGCCACAGATTGTAAACCGTACCTTAGTATGATAACTGCTTTCCAAGGGTCATGAGTAGATAATTTATAAAAATGTATTAGTCTAAAAATTGAAATCCTAGAAGGGCCTAATCAAAGTTAGCACGAATTTTGCTAAAGATACAAATAGCAAACAAGTAATTATTAAGAATGGGGTTCAAACATTAGTTACTACAATAAAAATAATTTTACACAACTTATAATGGATAATCCGTAATACCGAAGAACCAAATTTGATACAGACAAATTTAAACTACAGGAATTCCACAAAATGGTCGTCGGTTCATTCACGTATTTTTCACCTTCGAGTAAGGAGTATATCCATTGGACCGCCTTGCCATGGATCTGCTCCTGCGCATAGGACCACCACCGCTTCTACCAACGCCATTTGATCGGAAATTTGATGTTCTGCCACCGAAACTTCTAGAGCCGCCTTGTCTTCCGCCCCCACGACGTTCTCCGCGAGGTGACGACCTTTTGTTCTTGATCAATTCGTCCAAACTCACGTTCATTTTGAACAGATATAAAATTCCAAATCACAAATTCACAAACCGATCGTACGACGTTTGAATACGTAGGATATGGATAATACGAGCAGATTGAGAAAAGAAAATTTACGAGACCACGTTAGGAGAGCGTTAAACAAAAAAATGGCCAACGCATACAAAAAACAAACGAAATGTATTATGATCGCATTACACTACGTTCTCTATAGATACACGACGAGTAGGAGTGAAATAAACAAATATCCGAAACGTGATGGTTCCTTTAACAAAAAAACATACTGGTAGAAAATCATTAGACAAAAAGAAGATTTCCAGAGACAAAATATGTATCCATTCCATGAGTATAATTGTTCAATAAATTTATTTTGTTTTAAACTATTAGATGATATCTCAAGCACACAAATAGTATACTATGTTAAGCGTTATGTACGTTTACTTAGCTTTTCACTATAAAAATCGCTATACAAAATAACTGTAACAATTATAATATATATATATATGTATAAGACTAACCTAGTTTTTGTACAAACCTTGATATTATTGCAAATGGGATTATGTATGTGATCCTAAAAAGTCGCTGCACGAGTAAATTAAATATCTATACCACAAATATAAGGTATTATACTATAACTAAACGATAATTCACAAAATTATAATTTTTTTAACACGTAATCATGTAGATACGGTTTGAAAAATAACAAAAAAAATAAATAAATAAATAAAAAAATAGTGGTAATGAATTAACAGAAAAGGTCTAAACTACTAACTGTTATTTTAATCAACGCGTGTATACTGTAGATGTAAACAAAAAATTTCGAACAATTTCAGCTATCTCATTTTACGAGCCCGTTGTAGGTTTTAATTAAGAACGAGGACTGTTGATATTAATAAATAATTTCTACTCTAAATAGTTTGTGATAATTCACGGTCATTAAATTTTAAATTACAACAACTCCATCCAAGTGGGCTGCTCAAAACAGTCATATACCTCTCGTGTAAGGTTCTCCCAGTTCGAAATATTTTGTCATCTTGCCAATGAGTTGTCCTGGTTCAAACAATATATAATAATATAACTCGGATTGTTTCAGATTAGTAGCGAGTTTTCGGATTATACAAGTAATCGTTTTTAACACAAACTAACGAACTATATACATAGGAAATCTGGAAAAAAAAATAAGGTTATATTATTCGAGACATTAAAATCGTTGTTTACAGTATATTAAAAATTAAAATAAAGATCAGAATAAAAGAAAAAAATTTATTTTTTAATAATTTCAATTTCATACCAACATACAACCTCTACTTGGCGTGTTAATGTCATATTATAATTGAATATTGACCTAACAGTTAATACACTTTTACAAGTTAAAAAAAAAAACAAGACTGAGGATGGATAAAGTATAAAAAAACTTTTATATGCTGAGCTGCTTCCTTCCAAGTATTGAATATTTTTACTTGACCAATAATATCTTTTTCGGAAAATGTTATTATTCTTTTATCGTCAGTATTCATATACTATATGCCTGTGGTATAACAATATAATTTATAAAATCATTACAATGCAGCACGTACATAATATAATCTCAATATAAATAATTATTAATACGCGAGTTACTGGTACAAACCAGAAAAAGAAAAAGTTTAATAATTAAAAATCAATGCTATTTTAACCTAAAATGCAAATTACACATGAGTTCTAATAGTTCGTGACAAAAATTCATTCATATGACATATTCATCAAAATATTAACTTACATCATGGTTAAATGAAAAGTTATTACTTATTTAATTATTCCTCTATATTGAACTTATTGTACTCGTATTTTATAATTTTTAATTTTTTATGTTTAAGATATGACTTTTGGCCGTTGTTCATACGTTTTTATTTACAACATTTGAGAAGATAATATATTAAAACAAATCTAGTGTGTTTACATATAATAAATTATATAGAAAATAAAAAAATAGTGAATCGAGATCACTTTTTTTCTATTGAATTCTTTACGTTTATTTTTTGCTCTTTTCACTTTTTAACACTGTAAAACTGTGGATGTAAATTATGTAAAGGCAAATTTCTTAATATTTTTATTTTTTTTTTAAAGGTTGCGCACGTCAAGTCAATATATAACATTTTCCTTCGTTGACATCGAATGTTCGTCACAGCACATAATATGATCAAGGTGGTTCGGAGAAAAATATATAAATACGCATAATAACACATATTATACATCTAACGTAACGTAGATAGAAGGGACACTTTACATTAAGTTTGTCAGCCATCAAGATATCAATATTCCATTAGCATTATTGGACACGGATGTGTGCGAGTGTGTACGCGTGGATGTTCTCGTGTGTATGTGTGTGTGCATTCATAAAGCTAGGATATAAATGTCCTACACGTGTTCGGCGAGTGAGTTTATTCGCTATGATATTACAATTCCCTCCGGTTCATTATAGGCTATATTATATAGACGTGTTAAGGACGAGACAATACAAGGAAATCGGCTGTAGGATTCCCTTTGTTACAGCCTAGGCCATATAATATATATCTTTAAATAGTTATATATGTGTAAAAATTAATATTTAAATATATATATAATATGTATATATATATACTCTATTTATTTACACTATGATAATCGGTGAAATATAATTAATAATAATAATAATATAATACGGAACAGCTCCACGTCTCAATTATATGCCTGCTGCGTGGTAATGTACTTACCATCGCATTGCGCGACTATACACCTTGTTGAATGTAATTCATATTGTATTACATGCATTATGTCATATATTTTGTCTTAATTTTTAGCATATATAATATAAATGATTTAAATGTATAATGTCATACTTGTATACTCGTATATTTCTAATTTATAACTTAACAAAAAAAAAATAAATAAATAAATAAAAAATTAGGTGTACATTATTCATCTGTGCATTATTATTTAAAATTATACTTGTACATTTAAATGTGAAGAGCGATCACGCGTTCATAATTTATACTGCTGACTGCGAAAATATGAACGAAAGTCCCAGTTTTTCCGAATATTGTGTAATCTGTTTACTGTTCATATACGTGCATATTTGTTTATGTGTACACAAGACAGTATTTTTTGTTGTGAAGGGGAGAAATATGTTTAGTTATTTTTGTGAGTGATTAATGAAGATTAAAAATTTAATTAAAACAAAATTTTCAATTTTTAATTTGAATGTGACCATTCATAAAGATTATTTACGTTAATGGTCGAAAATATTTTCAAAAATTTGAATGATATTAAATTAAATTTTAGAGGGCATTTGGAACTTCGTTTCAAATATAAAAAACGCGTGTGTATGGTCACGTATCGTTAACGCCGAAATCATTGATGGTAGTTGGTTAGGGTTGTCTTGGATTTTGACAACATTTTTCATTTTTTTCTAATTCAGTATATTTTATCATAATTGTATTGGTAATATGTATACAAACATGCTTATATATCTGCCGCTGAACCGATGGTAGTTGATGGTTTCCACGTTGATTATTATTATTCGTGTTAATTATGATCGAGTGGAACCGCTTCCTCGCTAATTTGTAGTAAAAAAACAAAAAACGTACAAATACATTGAATTTCAACTCTTTGTGATTCACTACATTGAAATATAGCGTTCCTATCAAAGTAGCGTTACTTCAAACGCAGCCCCACGTTCCGTACCGACTGACCTGCCAATATTGCGCAATAAAAGTGCAACAACAGTGCACTCTCGTCGTTCGACAGTTTTGAAAAAAAAAACGTTTTTCTTGCTAATTACACATGTTTTAACGTTTCGATGTAGTTCTCAAAGTAAAGTATTGCTGTTGACAGCTTTTTGAGGACTTTTTTTTTGTATTTATAAATAAAAATTCAATATGTCCAAATTTAATATACAATATATATATATATATAAAAAAAAATTTTCCTCGGAAACTTTAAAGCGGAAGAAAGTTATTTTAACGTAATATTCTTAGGAAAACAATATATACATATTACGTTTGCTTATAAACTTAAATTAAATACTTTCATCAGAGTTTATTTAGATTACTTAATCGCGTGACTGCGATGAAGTATACGCATGGTGAACATATGTATAGCGGGATAAACGTTACATCGATGTTTTCTCACCGCGAATCGATAAATTATGATGATAACTGCACACATACCCGAGCGATCCGTTTGCTCGTTTGACATCGAAAAACAGCGAATATTGATCATAAGACGTTTCAATTAAATTTTCGCAAACACCATGAAAATGTTGTCACTAGCAGTACAGTACCAGTTTATAATATTTAACTGTATTATGATCTTCTGAACACGTTTCGGTGAATATTGGCGCGTCGTTCCATCGAATCGTATTTTTTTTACATAGTCCGTAAAAATACTGGCACGCACGCTTTTGGGTACACGTACAATGCGAATAATTAGATAATAATAATAATGAGACAAAAAAAAAAAATTAAGTTCAAGTTGTTTTATGATTTTCTTTTGAACCGTTTGAACGCGCAAAGTAGATGGGGAGAGATGGATAGCCATTTATCGTATTTCTCACATTTCCGAGTGGGAGAGGAAAAAGTAAACAAACAAACCGGTACCTACTCAACGATGTTGTGAAGAATGTGCGCTGTCTTTTTCACACACCGACGGGATAAATCGTCTAACGTTTATTTCCACACGAAAATAAAACGACCAAATAACGGCCCACATAACACTACGTTTACAATACCAGACGTTTCTTACCCTCCGCCGCGTCGGAGTCGTCCGTATACCTAAGTCGATCACGTTGAACGAAAAAATACATGACAGTTGTTTATTTTGTTTTTAAACTGACGATGTTTTGACTTATATATATTTATGTACGTATTCCGTTAGTACGGGTTATTTTCTATCCTACCGAAGAATATAAAAATCGGAGCTTTCACGGAACGTCTGGCAGATATGAAACATCAAATCTATTTCGTACAGAAAATATGCATAAAAGGATAATTTTTTAAAGGAAATATGACAAAATCAAAAACGATGACATTAATGAAAACGTAATATTTAGATTTTTTACAGAAAAATTAATTTTTATTTACAAAAAATGTATATTAATTTAATTCCAAAAAATTAATTATTACGCGTCAGAAACGTATACGTTTGAATCTGCAATGATTCCGTAATATTTATTTTGATAAGCTCTGAACGTTAAATAGATCATAAAAAATTAGCCTAAATTTAATTTCATCGTTGGTTATTAATTTTCATCACGTTAATACTTCACAATGTACACATTTAGAACTATTCATAACATATTACCATGTAATATGATTACTTGTGTACTGGTTTGGACGATATATTTCACTCATTTTATTTTGCGGTACGAATGAGACGGACAATAATATTAATAATAATAATTATAATAATAATAACTGTAAGTTATTTAATATCTGTTTAATTATTATTTATAACGCACTTCCAATATCTAATAAGTAGTTATGGTAAAAGGGCTACACACGAATTGCGTCCGGCCTTATCTTATCTACTACATGATTTGCGTCCGGATTTGTTTAAACGATTACATGTACGATGAATGTGCTTTAAAGCATGTAATAATTTTAGTTTGGCCGTTAATTCAAATGAAAGGAAGCAGGTTTCATTTAGGTCAACGTTGGTGGAGGAAAATTCAAACGGTTGGTTTAAGTCAAGAATACAAAAAAAAAATCAGATATCAGTATTTTCTTAAAATATTTTTTTGTCTCCCATTTTTAAAACCAGATGAAGTGGAAGACTGTTTTAGTGACGATATTGTATCAATTTTACCTGAAGATGAAAAAACACAGCAATTTTCTGATTATATATTAAATACATACATAAAGCCTGATTGTGATTTCCCACTTTCTGTGTGGGCAATGTATTCATGTCCTATAATTCGAACTACGAATAGTTGTGAAACCTTTCACTTCAAGTTTACTCAGCACACCCGAATATATTCCATTTTATAGATGTTTTAAAAAATGTACAAAAAGAAACTTATATTAAACAACGAAGTAATCATGTAATTAAAAACTGACGAATGATGATATGTGAAAAAGAAGATTACTTAAGACAAAATATGGCAAAAGATGAAAGTGGACAATTGACCCGTCTTGATTATATTAAGAAGGTATCATTCAAGTTTTTACCAATTTTTTAATTTTTTAATTTTATAATTATAACTTTTTTTATTAATGTTTATTTTAATTATTATATTACATTCCTATAATTTAAACCTACACATTTCATTTGACTTATAAATAATTGCATAACAACGATAAAAATCAATATTTTTAATCTACCGATAGTCATAATTTGCTATTGACAGTTCTAATTCTGTATGAAACGGAAAGAAAATTAATGTTTTTACGTTGGGACGCAATTCATGTGGAAAAGGGATTTCGGGACGCAATTCATGTGCAGCGGGTACAAGTATTTAATGCAGATAAAGGCTACCAATAATCTGTAAAAACCCATAACAAAATGTAGTAAAATTGTATAAGTCAATAGAGTTACACTACTAATGTTATCGACTAGTGATGATATAATTCGATTATAGGGCACATGCGATTATAGCGTAATACAGGTACATACCGCCCCACTGTTTTTATACTGGGTTAGTTACCACTGTTATATATATGTATATATATGATATATATTTGTGACGTAGCAATAAGCGTACTCGTTAAAACCGTGTGCACTCAGAATACAATTTTATAATCGAATATTTCCGGTGCAACGATGGAACATGCGATTAGTGCACTTGAAAGCAAAACACTGCGAAATCCGTGATGAGTTTGTACCCCGAAATATAATAATATTATAATAATAATACTATGTGCATTTGCTATTCGCGGGCACATTACGCTTTTTTTTTTTATTTTTTATTTTTATTTATTTTTTACATGCTTTCACTTAAATCCGTTTAATTGTTTTCGTGCGCACCGAGCAACAGCTACCCGATCGAAATAATTAAGTACATTACATTAAACGCAACATAAGTGAAATAGCGTTAAAGTTATTTGCAAAAGCGATTATTTTTTAGCGGTCAATAATGATGGAAATTAATTGCAAAAGGTCACACGATATTTAATACGTATTACGGGTGGTACAGAGTTCCGGAAATAACGTAGATAATTAATTTATTATTAACGTTATTATAATTCATTATTGTAATAAAAATCAGATTGTTGTCTACAGATTCAAATATTTTATTACAGGCGAAAATCTTAATCCATAGTACGTAATTAATACGAAATATATTTTATCAACTGTTAGTTTATAACTTATTAAAATAAATCGATGAAGTTAACGTTTTTGTAATTCATTACATATTTACATAGAACATCTTTTCAAACTAAAATACGAAGAGAACAAAAACTTGATTGAGGACGCAAAAGTTTTCGTGTCATGTAAACATACTTAAAATAAATAAAAAAAATTCATACACATTGTATATACTATGTATCATCCATGTTTAAAACTATATTAAAATCAAAAAAATCTCGTGATAAATATTCGTTTAATAAACTACATGTTATATATTTTATTTTAAAATCAGTTTTATGTGATAATTAAGAGTTATGATTTTGTACGAATAAATAGAATTATTTTTGTGTTAAAAAAACGTTCTTAGTGACTGCGGACACTTGTGAAAATATTTTTGAGAAATATCGTCGTAACACACCTGTAAGACACATCATAAACACGACGACAATATATAGAAAGTACTTATTACATTAAGTTATTCGACAAAGCCGGAACGATAAACATCAGACTATTACACTACAATAGATTTCCTGCACACCAGTGTTTGTTACGAAATAATTTCGATCTAAAATAAACTATTTGACATCTGTATATAATATATTGCACGTATAATCCCGAAAACCCTATCGCTGCCGCGAAAACGTCCCTACGCCGTAATAGTCTATTGGATGTCCTATAGGCCGGCCGATGCTATTAATTCTTCTTTTGTACGAGAGCAACGAATGAATCGATAGGTATGTCAAAACAAAATTGTTCTAAATCAAGTTGTCCATTCATTTTGTCCCCAATATGATTACACCCACTGCGTTCAAGGTGTAGATTTGTGTTTCGCGTACACAGGGGAAGAGAGATGAACTTGTGTTAACCCGGTATAAATCCGAACACCGCGAAATATAGCTTTCCCAAATTAAACTTATACAGTATATATAAAGTACCTATACATAAGTAGTAATAAGAGGGGGCTTCCGAGTCCATTTTTTTTCAATTTTTAAATAAATAAAATAGTTAATTCTCTAAAAAAAATTTTCTATATTAATTATTTCATATATAAAAATATAAATAAATTTTATAATAAGCACGTAAAGTATATAAAAAAATCATTTACAAGTTTTCTTATCTTTCTAGTTAATGGTACATATTTAACAATACGATATTGAATTAAAATAAAATAAAACCATAATGTCTTATTCAGAACAAATATAATCAGATTGTTAAGCAGTGATATAAGTAAAATATTTATATATTATTTATATTAATGTAAATTTTGATAATTTATAAATAGTTATTTACATGTTTTTGGTTAACATTTTACTATTAATAATTATATTATATTTATAATTATTTAAAAAAATTAGTCTAAGGTATTTCAGTAAATCGTTACATTCATTTTTAAATATATAATGATATTGATAGTTCTTCTGGAAATTAAAAAAGACCAGTTTTGACGATAGTGGTGTACAAAATAAAAAATAAAAAATAACCGAAATCGATTTAAAAAAAGTACTAATGGAAATGTAAGCATTTATATTTTAAGAATATTCTTTAAATGGTAATTATTAATATTTTTTATAGTCGAATAGACTTTTTTTTAATTTATTAACAACAATATTTTTTTGTTACGAATTAAAATAAAATGGATAAATTTTTGTTTAAAAAAATACAAGTAGTAAGAGAGAATACAGATGAAGACAATTTGGAAACAGAAAAAAACTCGTCATCTTCTGTAAATGCATCGTCAAGTTTTAAAGAAAAACAAGAAAATCCTTCTAAAAAATTCAAAGGTAAATATCGTCAATACAATGAAAATTATTTAAAATTAGGATTTTTTTGGGTCGGCGACAAACATTGTCCTATTCCTTATTGTTTTATTTGTGACGAAAAATTGTCGAATGAATCAATGGTTCCCAATAAGCTAACCCGCCATTTCACCACAAAACATCAATCGTTACAAAATAAACAAATTGATTATTTTCGAAGACTATTAGATTCAAAAAAACTACAATCAAAACAATTTGTAAGATCAGTGAACATTTCGGATTAGGCACAGGAAGCTAGTTTTCGTATCGCTCAATTGATAGCTCAAAAAAAAAAAATCTCATTTAATTGCCGAGAGTCTTATTATGCCAGCTTGTCGTATTATGGTAAAGACTATGTTAGGAGTCGAAGCAGAAAAAGAAATAATTAAAATACCATTAGATGATAGTACAATTAGTCGTAGGATTATAAATATATCAGAGGATATTGAGGAGCAGGTTATTGAAGTTATAAAAAGTGGAGAATTATTTGCCTTGCAAGTTGATGAATCAACAGACATAAGTGGGAAAGCTCAATTAATGGCATTTATTAGATTTATTGTAAATTCAAAAATAGTTAGTCAATTTTGTTGTTGTAAAGAATTATCTGGGACAACAACTGGTCGAGATGTTTTTGATGTCATAAATAAATATTTTAAAAATTATGGTATATCGTGGACTTTTTGTGTAAGTATTTGTACAGTTGGGGCGCCATCAATGACAGGCTCTATTAAAGGATTTATTGCAATTGCCAAAAATCAAAATCCTAATATAAACACAACACACTGTTTTTTACAGTGGGAGATATTAGTAGCAAAAAGCATTGTTAATGAATTAAAGATTGTATTTGATCAAGTCGTAAAAATGGCGAATTTTATTAAAAGTAGACCTCAAAAAATTCGATTATTGTCCCAGTTATGTGAATCAATGGAATCTGACCACTATACATTGATTATTTATACAAAAGTACGTTGGTTATCAAAAGGGCAAGTTTTATCACATTTTTATGAACTTAGAGAAGAACTTTTAGTATATATTACAATGGAACAAATGGAATATTCCGATTATTTATCCGATGAATTTTGGTGTTCAAAATTAGCATATTTAGCTGATATTTTTGAACACCTGAATCAATTAAATTTAAGCATGCAAGGTGAAAATCAGAATTTATTAATATCTACAGACAAAATGGCTGCATTAAAAGGCATATTATTGATTTAGAAAAGAAAGGTAAATGATAATAATTTGGATATGTTTCCTTTAACTGCTAATACTAAATTTACTGATAAAATAATACCAATTATCAAAGACTCAATAACATTATTGGACCAAAAACTTGATCATAATTTTTCATCACTGGATTTGAAATTATTTGATTGGGTGAGGAATCCATTTAATCCTAATTTAGAAACCACACATCTTTCATTAAAAAAGGAAGAAGAACTTGCAGAATTAAAAAACGATGGCACTCTTCAAATGAAATTGAATGAGCTCGAGCTAAGCCAATTTTAGATTTACACAAAAAAGAATATCCGAACTTAAGAAAATTGGCTCATTCCGTATTATTACCATTTTCGACATCATATTTGTGCGAAGTAGCTTTTTTTGCTTTGAATGAAATTAAAAACAAAAAAAAGGAAAGATTAATTAATGTTGAAGAGGAGTTAAGAGTCGCCTTATCGAAGATTTCACCACGAATTGCTACATTATGTAAGAAATATCAGTTACAAATTTCTCATTAAAATGCTGTTTTACCTATGATATATTTTTCTTTGTATTTTATATATTATAATTGATTATATATTATAAGTTTATGTATTATTAACTAATTATAAATATTTAATACTATCTATTATTCTTATTTTTTTTACTATGTGTCACAAAGTATGAAATATTTTAATAGTGTGTCGCCATTATACAAAGGTTGAGAAACACTGAACTAGAGAGATAAGAAAACTTGTACATGATTTTTTTTATGTACTTTACGTGCTTATTATAAAATGTATTTCTATTTTTCATATATGAAATAATTAATATAGAAAATTTTACAGAATTAATTGTTTTATTTATTTTAAAATTGAAAAAAAAAAATGGACTCGGAAGCCCCTTGTTATAATTTAAAATCGAAAAAAAATGGACTCGGAAGCCCCCTTGATATATTTTAAACTTTAAAAAAAAATGGACTCAGAAGCCTCCTTGATATATTTTAAAATTGAAAAAAAAAAATGGACTTAAAAACCCCTTTTATTACTAATTACATTTAATAGGATCAATAGGCATATTTCCCGTGGAGTCGCAGCGACGGTATTTGAAAGGTAAGACGTACTTGGAGTATAGAGGAATAGATACTTACTTACAGAAGTGCAAACGTTTCGAACAAAAATTACTGTTTTATCACACTATTATTACCGTACCCAGAGAGCAGGTACATGGTGAGGCGTCGCATGAATAATGCGTTTGCGTTCTTTCGAAGGATGTTTTTTTATTTATTTATTTATTTATTTTTTTTTTTTGTTTGTGGGCCCCACAAGTGTTTGCGAAACGTTAAATTCAAAAATAAAGTGTTTAGCAAATGCAAATTGACCTGATGCGGAAGACGTCAAACTTAACTTTGGCCGACCTCGTTCGCAAAGTATATGTTACATAAAAATGTGACGAACATTTGGCGACTGCTGGGGGTAATATTATTTTAAGTATAATATCGCAGGAAAAAAAACATCCGATTCCGGTTTGTCGAAATCGCGCGAAATGATTAACGACACGTTGAAAAAGCATTAAATGAAAATGCGAAAACACAATAAAAGGAAAGATATATATATATATATATATATATATATATATAAACATTATTATTATTTTGCATTCAAACGTAACGTTCTTCGTCACCGATCGGGCGGGCGACCTTATTCGTTTACATACACTGGAGCGATAGGTACGGCGCAGTGCTATAATTTTACTCGGAACGTCCACAACGCGACGCACAAGACTGGACTGTTAAACCGGATTTACTTTGGTAGAGTATTTGGTACAGTACACGACGGAAGATATAGTAGTATTCTACTGTTACTAGCGTAATGTTAACAATTAGGGACAGTATAGGTAGAGCGCTAAAAATAGAAATCGGTTGACTAAAGTACTTAATACCGTTTTAACTGTACCTTACCACAACTCTACTGGTGCAATCAAGTTTATTTCGGTACAGTAAAGTAAAATGTTGAATGCCTTCGACGTGAAAAACTTTAATCTAAATTATTAATAATTACGAGTATTATTACATAACATTAGATTGTATCAAGTATCTTTAATCATAAAAAGATACTAGATACAAAAAAAAAAAAAAAAAGTATTTAAATCCACGATACAAGATATAATTGTATCTCAGATACATATCTTAAATACTAGTATCTAAGATACTGCCCAGCTCTGAGCGGAACTAGGAATTTTTACGCCCGGGGAAAATATTATAATTACTCCCTATCATAAACAAAGAATCAAATACTCTTCCCTACAATTGTTTTCTGATAATAAGCATAAAATCATACTTACCAAGATTTAAACTAATTATCATTAAAAAAGATAAAAATATCAAACTAGTAGTCAATTATGGATTATATATTACAAAAATTGCACCCTCTAAAGGGTTGTGTCTAGATATGAATCCCCGTCTTCCTGTCCCTAGTTCCACCACAGACTGAACTATTTATACCAGATCATTAGCTTTGTGTAAACCGTTACTCTACTAAAAAACTAGTACAGTCGCTAGAGAAAATAGTAGGTTAGTGTACTATACCCAATACTCAACCACAGAGGTTCCCAACCTTTTTAGTATGTTAGTGCGAACCACTAATTTCGTAGAAAATTTTTGAGACCCACCAATAGTTATATATGTAAAATGTGCACGTACGTCAGTTATTACAATTTATTTACTAATAAGCAACTGTTTATCAGAAAAAAAAATTCATTGGACCAGATAATTCAAAAGTTAAATAATTTAATGTGATTTTTGATTGTCCCCCACGAAAGAATCAATACCTGTGTGGTGACGTAAACAACGCACCGCGAATCGTCCAAGTTGTTTACAATATTGTCAGTGGATAAGAGGAAATCCCATGTCCTAGAATATGCGATGATTATCTCGTTAAGGTAATTTCGAGAATGTTCTAGACAATCGACGCCGATATATATATACCGGTTTGTCAGACGCCCATTCAATCAGTCCGTAAGTACAATCCGCAACACACCGCGATATATTCGACAATTCCTCCGCAATTGTAACGCGTATCGATATTTGTACATACATATTTATATAATAAAGTATCTATTTTAATTAAATTAAATTGTGAGTGATTTTTATTACTTAAATCCCACATCTGGATTAAAACTGAAAAGTTTTAGCCTTAAATCGCTTTCAAAATTCAAATTCAGTTTAAAAATATTAAAGTAAAATAAACTCGTTCACACAGGCACATAGGGTTGTCGAAATATAGCCCACCAAGTTTCTATGTGCAATTTTAGAGTAATAAAAAGTTTTTCCGAATATTTAACTAGAATGGTAATAATGGTGTGGTTTTAAAAAACGATTTTAGAGTTTGATCCATGAAAGTTCAATCAACGAATCTTTTTCATTCGCTTCACTGATATTTAATATTTAAAAATAAAAAAATAAAAAAATAAAAAAATATAAATAAAATATTATTATTATTGTAATTATTTTTATTATTTTATTATTATTATTTTTATAATTTAAAAATAATTAAAATAAGATAAGTAATATTAATATAATATGGTTCACGGCCCGGTACCACCATGCTCGTGGCCCACGAGTTGGGAACCACTGCTCTACCAATGTAAACCCGACTGTTATTCCGAGCGATCGGAGTTTTAATGCGAAATATGTCTCCGCGCGCGCCGATCGGCCGATACCGGACGCGTAACGTTTTTCCGCCGTGCGTTTCAAAACGCCGTAACTCGGCGCGCAAATTACACATTACACACGCGTTACGTCACTTAACGTTCTAGACATGGATCCAGTGGCGGATTAAACATTTAGGGGCCCTTAGGCAATTAAAATATTGGGCCCTACAAAATTATTTTTTACATACATCTTTAACATTACTATACAATAATTAAAATAAAAAGCTTTAATAATAACCAACTATTATTAATTATAAAAATAATGTTTGTTAAATTTTTTCATTTGCGACTTTGATTATACACTACTAGTATATAGTAATATGTAGTATAGTATAGTATAGTATAGTATATAGTAATATATAATCAACGATTTGCGAGAAAAATTAATTACTTATTATATTATTTTTTTTTTTTCAAAATAATGCTATTATTATTACTGCATATAACACCTTCAACTTATATATTATATTTCGTAATGACTTTTGTCCCATAAATTCGTAAATAAAATACAGGTATTATTAATTAAAAAAAAAAATATAGTTTTCCATTTTCATGGGTCTCCATGAATGAATGAGGCCATAAGGTGGGCGCCTACTTCATCTAATGTGTTATCCGGCACTGCTTGGACCGTACGATTCGTTTTTTAAGAGGCCTCACCACCACGTCTTTTTTTAAAAAAAACTACTGTTTCTAATTCCAACGTTACGTGTCAACAATTATCACGATTTTCATTCTGAAAAAATATACGGATTTTCCGTAATATGTACAAGGAAACAATCGAGTCACATTTTTAATTTTTGTAATTTAAATTGCAATAAATATTGTTGAAAATTTAAAAAAAATACAGATTTTCAAACTTAAATATTTGATTAGCTAAATAACATTTTTAAAATGTGCCTCGATCGATCCCTCGTACATGTTGTGGAAAAAAAGAATGTTTTATTCAGAATGCAAATCGAGGTAATCGTTGCGACGTATGTTTGAATTAGAATCGTATGTTAGAGTGAAAAATAAACATTTTTTTCGCGAACTCAATATTACGTTTTAACATTTGCGTGCGAGTGCGTGCAAAAGCCCTCCGTACCGCTACCGCGCCGCGTCAAGATATTGAACCCATGCAGTGTAATATAATTAGATACGTTATTTCGTAGCATTTTATAATGATGTTAGCAAATAGTTATATTTCCGTGCCTTGATAATAATATTATAAACTTGGGCGATTGTAAAGTCCACCAGAATAAAAAAAATAATAAAAGGTCTAATGTAAACTCCACCAGTTTTTTTTTTGTATTTTGCTTGTGAATCCT